GGCCCCGCCGCCGCCCTTAGCGGCCGCGTTGCCGCGCGTCGCGGCCCTGCAGCCGCTCCTCGCGGCCTCGTCGCCGCCCTCCGCGGCCCCAGTGCCGCCCTCTCGCGGCCGCGTCGCCGCCCTCTCGCGGCCCCAGTGCCGCCCTCTTGCGGCCTCGTCGACGCCCTTAGCGGCCCCGTCGCCGCCCCTTGCGGCCCCGTCGCCGCCCCTTTCGGCCCCTTCACCGCCGAGCCGCCAAGCCGCCAAGCCGCCAAGCAGCCGAGCTGCCGAACCGCCGAGCCGCCGAGCCGCCAGCCGCCGAGCCGCCAAACCGCCAAGCCGCCGAGTCGCCAAGCAGCCGAGCCGCCGAGCCGCCAGGCCGTCGTGAAGCCGCCACTACCGAGCCGTTGCCGCCGAGCCGCCGTCGAGCCGCTACTGCTACTCCTGAGCCGCTGCCACCGCGGTTGCAGCTCTGTTCCTACCGGCGCGCCCCGGCCCTACCCACCCGGACTAGTGAGAGCACTCCCTGCTAGACCACTGCTGTCATGGCTACCCCCAGTGTCCTTACCTTTGATGCTGAGGGTCGTGCTGTTGACTTCAAGGTCTGGGCCGATGACCTACAGCTCTTCCTACAGTGCGATAGGGCAGACGGACTCTCCCTGTTCTATCTCACCTCTTGTGCCTTTCCTGCCCCGCCTGCTGATGCTGACAGCACTGTTCGCTCACAGCGGGCCACACGCAATGCTGCTGCCCGTCTTGTTGTGCGTCGCCACTTACCGACTGCTGAGCGTGCGCACTTTAGTCAGTACAAGAGTGCTAAGACCTTGTACGACGCTGTAGTTGCACGCTACTCTTCCCCTGCCACTGCTGCTCTTAGCCGCCTCATACTGCCGTACCTGTTCTCTGACCTTGCTGCCTTTCCCACAGTCGCTGACCTCATTACACACCTTCGCACTAGTGACACTCGCTACCGCGCTGTGCTTCCTGCTGAGTTCTGTGCCAAGAACCCTCCCCCCATGTACATCACCCTCTACTACATAGTCACCCGGCTCCCTGACTCCCTTTGCTTGGTCAGGGACCACTTCCTCTCAGCTTGCCCCACCACACTCAACGTTGACCTCCTCGAGGAGTGCCTCCTGGCAGCAGAGAAGAGCATAGTCGCTGTAGGAGCCTCTCCTCGTGACCCTCGTACCCCCGTCTTTGAGAGGTGTTCCCCCTCCCCCCTCTTGCCCTCTGTTGCTTCTGCTGCTGCGGCCAACCTCATTGGCTTCGAATGGGTCGGAGCTGCGTCTGCCCCTAGCGGGAGACACCGCACCGGCAGGGGCAAGGGAGGCAAGGGCGCTGGAGGGGCTGGCGGGGGCGGTGGAGGTAGCGGTGGAGGCAGTGGAGGGGGTAGGGGTGGTGGTGGGAGTGGTGGCGGGGGTGGAGGCATCGGTGGCAGCAGTGGAGGCGGAGGAGGGGGCGGCGGTGGCGGTGGGAGCGGAGGCGGCGGAGGTGGCGGAGGCGGCGGCGGCAACGGTGGAGCTGGTCGCGGCTCTGCGTAGAGGAGTGGCTCCGGTGGTGGTCCGCACCAGCTGCAGCAGCGCACTCGTGAGACCCCGTCCCCCCAGCAGCTTCGTGAGTGGTACGCAGGGCGTCACCAAGGAGGGGGTACTGGTCACTGTACCTACGTCCTCCGTACCGGCGACCGCGCTGGTGAGCAGTGCGGGGGCTCGCACTCCACCGAGCGCTGCTTTGGCTGCCTGACAGACGCTTGGCGTCACCAGTTCCCTGACGCCACAGAGATCCCTCGCTGGGGAGAGCTGTCTAGGGCGGGGGTTGCTATCTTTGATCATGACTATGATGCTATACTTGCTGCCATGTATGCTGTGTCTACTAGTGATGAGGGCAACTGTTACTTGTGTGTTCCGCCTGACCTAGGCATTGGGACTGCTGCTCTAGGTGCTGGTGAGGCTGCTACTCTAGGTTCTGGTGAGACTACTTCTCTCGGTGCTAGTGAGTCTGCTGCCCCAGGTGCTGGTGAGTTTGCTCTCTCAGGTACCACGCCGGCTCAGGCCTCCCACACCTTCACACTTGACTCGGGTGCTTCCCGCTCCTTCTTTCGAAACCGCACCACACTCACGCCGCTTAGTCGGCCAATGGCGGTCTCCTTGGCTGACCCCTCCGGGGGTCTTGTCCTTGCCCACTTCTCCACTGTCTTGCCGTGTCCGGCGGCCCCCTCTGGCACCCTGTCAGGTCTTTACCTCCCCTCGTTCTCTACGAACTTGGTGAGTGGTGCAGATCTACAGGATGGGGGGGTTCACCAGTTCACTCCTGCGAGTCAGAGAGTGACCCACTGCACGTGTGCTCGGACGGGCCGACACTTGGCCACGTTTACTAGTCGACAAGGGTCGAGCCTGTACACACTGACTACTGGTCCTCCTCAGTCTACTGCGTCTGGTCAGGTAGCTGCGTCGGGTTAGGCGTCTGTTGCGACTTCCAGGTCTTGTCGTGAGTCTGCCCCCTGCACGTGTCGTCTCCTGTCTCACCAGACTCTCCTCTGGCACCACCGCCTTGGTCACCCCTCCCTGCCTTGTCTCCGAGGCATGGCCTCCCGTGTCCTTGTCTCTGGTCTCCCCCGGTCCCTCCCTCCCCTCCCTCCGGGGCCTGCCCCTATTTGCGTTCCCTGCGTCGAGGGGCGGCAGCGCGCCGCCCCTCACTCCTCCGAGTTTCCTCCAACAGAGGCTCCGCTGCAGACTCTTCACATGGACGTGTGGGGCCCTGCCCGCGTCCGTGGCCAGGGTCACGAGCGTTACTTCCTGTTGGTAGTTGACGACTACTCGCGTTACACCACAATGTTTCCCTTGCGCAGCAAGGGTGACGTCATTGAAGTCTTGATCGACTGGATCCGCGCAGCTCGTCTCCAGCTCAGAGGGAGTTTCGGCTCGGACTTTCCTGTTCTGGGTCTACACTCTGACAGAGGCGGGGAATTTTCCTCTGCCCTTCTGGGAGCCTTCTGTCGTGCACAGGGCATCCGCCAAACCTTCACACTTTTGGCCTCTCCATAGCAAAATGGGATTGCTGAGCGCCGCATTGGCATGGTCATGAACGTCGCTCGTACGCCCATGATCCATGCGGCTGCTCCCCATTTTCTGTGGTCGTTTGCGGTTCAGTACGCAGCGCATCAGATCAACCTTCAGCCCCGGGTCTCTTTGCCAGAGACCTCCCCCACCTTGCGGTGGACGGGAAAGGTTGGCGATGCGTCTGCGTTTCGTGTCTAGGGATCTCGGGCGTTTGTTCGCGACTTGTCTGCGGACAAGCTGTCCCCCTGTGCGATTCCCTACGTCTTCCTTGGCTTCCCCCCTGACGCGCCTGGTTGGCAGTTTTACCACCCCACCTCGCGCCGTGTTCTCTCCTCCCAGGACGTCACGTTTGACGAGTCGGTTCCTTACTACCGTCTCTTCCCCTACCGCACTGCACCCCTTCCCCCGCCGCCGCTCTTCCTTGCGCCAGGTCCCCCCCTAGTAGACCCCCTCCCCCCTCAGGGTCCTGCCCCGTCAGGTGTACCCAGGTAGACGCAGTCGAGCCTGTCGAGGTAGGTGTTGACTCTGGTACTGCTAGGGGTGCTGAGCTTGGGGGTGCGGAGTCTGGGGATACCGAGCTTGGGGGTGCTGGGCCTAGGGGTGCGGAGCCTGGGGGTACGGAGCCTGGGGGTGCTGAGCCTGGGGGTGCGGAGCCCGGGGGTGCTGGGTCTGCTCGTGTGGCCTCTGGCGGTGCTAAGTTTGGAGCCACTTCGGGTACTTCGTCGAGGCGGGAGCTACCCTCTCCATAGGAGCTGCGCGAGTGGTTTGCTCGGCGGTGGAGCCGTGCTGCTGGAGCTGGAGGTGGTGCTATTACTGCTGACCTTGGGGTCGGCACTGGAGTTACTGGAGCCGCTGCACCTGGAGGTGCTCGTACTGGCGGGACTGGAGCTGCTGGGCCTGGGGGTGCTGCTAAGGCTGCTGGCGGTACTAGAGGTGCTAGCGAAACTGGAGCTGCTGGCGGTACTGGATCTAGCGCACCTGCTGGAGTCGGTGCTGCTGGAGCTGGAGCTGCTGGAGCTGGAGCTGCTGGGGGTGTTGGCGCTGGAGGTGCTGTTGGCGTTGGTGCTTCTGAGGGTGCTGAAGTTGGCGCTGTTGGAGGTGGAGGTGCAGCTGGCGCTGGTGCTGCCGTTGGGGGTACTGTTGCTGTCCCTGCTGGTTCACGAGGCGTTGCGCGGCCGCGACCGTACTTCATTCCGCTCCTTGAGCAGGTTCTTGGTCTCCCGCCCTCTACTATTTCTGCTCCTCCCTTAGAGTGTCCACAACCTATCCAGTCGCGGTCACAGTTACAACCAGCCTCCCCCTTACCTGCTCCTTCTCCCTACACTGGTCCTACTGGAGGTCTTGCTGAGCGTTGTGAGCTTACGTCTCGTCCTACGTCGCCTGTTGGTGCTGCTCGCGCTAGTTGTCGTGGTCCGCGTCCGCGTCCTCCTACGGTCCCACACACACACCAGATGGCACTGCGTCCTTCCACTGCTCCTCTACGTGTCCCGTTGCCGTCTCCTCCAAAGTCCTCTCTTCCTGTCCTTGCTGACCCGGAGTCTTACTCTCTCTTTGTGCTGCCAGTCCTACTGGCACGCGTCTCCTGTCTACTGCTGTCACTAATCCTTCCTTTGAGTCCATCGCTCCGTCCGCCTTGGTTGCTGAGCTTCTCGACTTTGCTGCTCGCTGTCGTCTAGAATACGCTGCTAGTCTTGTTGCTGTGTCTGAGTCTATCTGTCCTCCGTCCGTCGGGGATGAGTGTGCTCTTAGCACGGACGTCTTTGAGGACAGGCAGGAGGAGTTTCAGTGTCTTGCTGCTGCTTTGCCTCGTCTCGTGTCCACGCTGATTGCCCCTCAGGGAGACCCACCTGAGGCAGGAAGGGTGACCAAGGCGGTGGTGCCAGAGGAGAGTTTGGGGGGATAGGAGCGACACAAGCAGGGAGCAGACTCAGGACCAGACCTGGACGCTGCAGCAAACACCTAACTCGACGCAGCTACCTGACCAGACTCAGCAGCCGAAGGAGACTCAGTAGTCAGGGTGTACAGGCTCGACCCTGGCCGACGAGTGAACGTGGCCAATTGTCGGCCTGTCCGAGCACACGTGCAGTGGGTCACTCACTGACTCGCAGGAGTGAACTGGTCAACCCCCTATCCTGTAGGTCCGCTCCACTCAACAAGTTCGTAGAGAACGAGGGGAGGTAGAGACCTGACAGGGTGCCAGATGGGGCTGTCGGGCACGGTAAGACAGTGGAGAAGCTAGCAAGGACAGGACCCCCAGAGGGGTCTGCCAGGGAGACTGCAACCGGCCGACTAAGCGGCATAAGAGTGGTGCAGTCTCGAAAGAAGGAGCGGGACGCACCCGAGTCAAGGGTGAAGGTGTGGAAGGCCTGAGCCAACGTAGTACCTGAGAGAGAAGACTCACCAGCACATGGGGCAGCAGACGCACTGGCACCTGGGGCAGCAGAAGCACTGGCACCTGGGGCAGCAGACGCACTAGCACCTAGAGCAGCAGCCTCACCAGCACCTAGAGCAGTGGCCTCAATGCCCGGGTCAGGCGGTACACACAGGTAACAGTCACCCTCAACACTAGTAGTCACAGAATACATGGCACCAAGGATAGCATCATAGTCAAGATCAAAGACGGCAACCCCCGCCCTAGACAGATCTCCCTTGCGAGGGATCTCTGACGCCTCAGGGAACAAGCAACGCCACGCGTCCGTCAGGCGACCGAAGTAGCGCTCGGTGGAGTGCGAGCCCCTGCACTGCTCACCAGCTCGGTCACCGGTACTGTTATAGTCACAGTAGGCTCCAATGTGCCTAAAACGAAAGATAGAGTGCGCAGTCGGATTTTTGCACAGCGGCTTCAAACGATCATAGCGTTTTGGTCACAACATCAAATGACTTTATTCAACTCGGATCTGGAGCGTCTTTTTCTTGCCTACACTAGGCAACTTAGATCGCACGATTTCACCAAGTATTGACGACACAGCGTCGATTTGAACGAACGGCACTATGGCAGCAACATAGTCTTAGAACAAAATAGGAAGAGATATGAAGAGTTACGAGTTGGGAATGACTCCCAGCTCCAACAAACCCCAAGAGCCGAGGTGCAGTGATGTGGAACAGTGCCACACTGTCCCCAACCACGAAGGGTTTTGAAACTACCCTTCACTAGGGCCTACACCAAGTGAAATGTTACACTACACAAAGTAATGTAACTATCTTCAATATCTTGAGGTGTACCCTTTTGGCGAGCTTCGAAATCACTTGAGGCTTGACACCAAGGCTCGGGCTCTTCATCACAAACTCATCCTTGAGTTCTTGATGGGTTTGCTGCACACACCTGCGGCACACCGAACGTTCAACACAGGACAAAATAGAAACCGCGCACGACAAAAATAGAAACCGCGCGCGAGACACAAACGACCGCGTAACACGCGTCTAGCGATAACTCGCTATTGACTCGACACACACACTCGACATCATGACTCAACATTCACACACAATTATAAGCATGAAATATATATTATCCCATGCCCTCATACCATTCCATACACACACACATGCACGCACACGGACAACAAGCCGAGTGCAAACCGTAGGGTTGCACCAATAAACCCCCCCTCGGATTGTTGGCCTTAGGATATGTTGCTCTCTCAGTCAGAGCCATCCCAGCCAGCTTGCAACACTTCCAATGCTGCTGCTCCACCAGCCTCTTAGTCATCATGTCAGCCGGCTGCCCCGTGGTCTTCACATACCGCAACTCAACTTCACCCGCGGTCACCATGCTCCTCGTCCAATGCCACTTCACCCTCATGTGCTTTGTGAGTCCATGCAACACAGGGTTCTTAGCAAGAGCAATGGCACCCTGGCTGTCACAGTAGAGTGGGGTAGGTCCTTGCTGCTCCTCCCCCAATTCAGCCAACAAACGCCGCTGCCACACAATCTCGGACTCCATCGAGCTCAAAGCTTGGTCAACCTGCTTCTTGCTCTCCCAAGCAGTTGGGCCTCCACCAACACACCATATAAAGCCTCCCACACTTGTCATGTCCTCTGTATCCGATGCATATGACGCATCCGAGTAGGCGGTGAGGAACAAACGCCCGGGTTCAACACCATCCGCGCCCTTTTGGCGCCTTTGTGCCGCCGCCGAGTATTGCAGCCCAACGGTCGGTGTTTGGCCAAGATACTTGGCCACCCTCATTCCAGCTGCTACCTGCTCCTCATTAGGGCATTGCACAACCCTAGCCAGCTGCCCGGTAGCAAACGCGACGTCCGGTCGGGTGTTTACCGCCGCATACATGAGGCTGCCCACCAACGAGTGAAAATGGCGCCTCTCCTCTTCACAAACGCTCTCCTCCTCTGGTCCCTTCACACACTTGAACCCAGAGGGAAAGGGAGTAGCCACATGACCTTCACTCTGGCCGAAGTTGGCAGCCAACGCCTCCAGGTACTTCCGTTGGTGCACTCGCATGCTCCGCTTCTCCACGTCTCGTTCGATGTGGAGCCCAAGGTAGAAGTTCACGTCACCAAGGGACTTGCACTTGAAATTTTCATGCAGCTTCAGCATCACCTCCTTCACAAGGTCAGAGGAGGGTGAGAATATAAGAATTTCATCCACATAAACCACCATGAAGCTCCTCTGCTCCCCCTCGCCAAGCATGAACAAGGAGTGATCGGCCGTTGAGGGAGTGAAGCCGATCCCCTCCAACACTTCGCGCAGCTTCATGTACCATTGCCTAGGGGCCTGCTTCAGCCCATAGAGGGCCTTCTTTAGCTTCCACACTCTGCCACTACCATCATCAAACCCCTCTGGCTGCGCCATAAAAATTTCCTCCTCAAGGATGCCGTTAAGGAATGCCGTTACGATGTCCATTTGTTTTACTACCCATCCTTTGATGGCGGCTCCCGCGAATAGGGTTCGCAGCGTCGTCGGCTTCACCACAGGGGCAATCAGCTCCTTGAAGTCCACCTTCTCCTTCTGCTGGTACCCCTTGGCTAGAAGCCTAGACTTGTAGCGCTCGATCTTGCCGTCGGCATCCGACTTGATTTTGAAGAGCCACTTGGACGTTATCTCCGCACGCCCCTCCGGTAGCTCCACCAATTCAAACGTGTCATTCTCCTTGATGCTCTTCAGCTCACTCTCCATGGCCTTCTTCCACTCCTCAGCATCACTACTCTCCAAAGCCTCCTTGAAAGTTGCTGGTTCTCCCGGCATCTCCACCGGAGAGAAGAACGCGAAGGCACACTCCTCGTAGTCACTCTCCTCGTCGTCTCCGACCATCATTGCCGCTCCGGCCAGGGCTGTCTTGCCCTGCTTTCCCAGCGCATCATAGGTCAGCCTATTAGGGGGTTGAACTCTCCTCTTGCCCCTTCCTTCCTCCTCAGCTGCAGGGACTTGAAGGCCTTGGCGTTGCTGCGGTGTGGCTCGAATCCGTGGAGCACTCGTAGTACGGGAAGGGAGTGACGGTGCACGCTCGCTCACTTGCTGCACCTCCTCCTCTTCTTCCTCTGCATCATTGGCCTCCTCTCCCCCATTCACAAGGGAGGATTGCCTTGTGGTTGTGCTGCCGCTGCTCAGCTCCAAAGGCAGCTCCACATGCTCCAAACCGGAACTCTTCACCTCCCCAAACCGCACGCCTATCTTCGCCTCATTCTCCGCCTTCCAATCTTTGTACATGAAGTTCTCCATGAACTTGCAGTCCCTGCTCACCAAGAACTTCTTGGTGAATGGGTCCCAAAGAAGCCATCCCTTGCTGTTTTGAGCCATGCCCAAGTGCACGGCCCACACCGCCTTGGCACCAAGCTTGTTGTGCCGAAGATGCTTAGGCACGAGCGCCATGCACATGCACCCGAACACCCGAAGCATATCCACCTTTGGCTTCCTTCCTAGCCACTCCACATAGGGCACCCATTTGTCTGCTCCCACATGAGTCAAGGCTCGGTTCTTGGCCACACACGCGCTCCGCACCGCATCAGGCCAGAAATAGTCGGGTAGCCCGGCTTCAATGAGCAACCCGCGTGCCGCCTCCGTGATTGTGCGGTTCGCTCGCTCTGCGATGCCGCTCATTGCAGGGGAGTATGGCATGGTGAGGGAGTGCCAAATACCATTCTTCTTCAGCCACAACCCAAACTCCTTGCTCAGGAACTCTCCCCCTCGATCGGTGCGGATTGACTTGACTAGACGGTCTTGTTGCCGCTCCACCATCGGGAACCAATCTGCCTTCAACGTTTCAGCCACGTCGCTCTTCTTGGCCAGCACGTACACCCAAGTCATACGGGTGTAGACGTCCACAATAGTGAGGAATTACTCAGCTCCAGCAGCTCCAAGCTTCAGGGGGCCCACCACGTCCATCACCACCTCATCAAGTGGTGCCTTAGCCGTTGCCTCCGAACTAGAGAATGGGAAACGGGTGAACTTGGCTTGCATGCACGTCGGGCAGCCAAGTACCTCATTGGGCTCCCCCTTCACACGTATGCTAGCAACCATCTCATTCTTTACTAGCTGCTGCAAGATGGGCAGGGCCACATGCCCCATGCGCCGATGCAAGGTGAGCCAATCACACTCCCCCGTAGCCGAAGTTGGATTGGAGAATGCCGCACTCGCAATAGCGCCCCACATACTCTCTCCGTAGTCCTCCTCCGCTGCTGCCTCGGGGTTCTCCTCACCCTTTTGCTGCTCCTTGGCTGCTGCACCTCTCTCCATAGGTTCACCAAGCTTGCTGGTCTCTCCAAGATTGCACTTCTTGGACTCCTTCTCCTCAGCGCGACCGTCCGCGCAATCGCCGCTACCAACCGCTCCACCTTTGGTGCTGACGCTTGCTGCCACTTGCCTCTCCTTAGGCAATGGGACCACATGGATCTGCCACATCTCGTTGTAGACATCTCTGTCCTCATGAAGGTCCCAAAGAATCCGATCGCCAAGCCTTGCGGTGTAGGTCTTGGCTCCCTTTGAGTTCGTGTCCATGCCGGCCTTAGCCAACCGCCGCACGGAAATCAGGTTGGCAGCAAGGCTGGGCACCCAAAGCACATTCTTGAGGCCCACCATCTTCCCATCAGCACCCTTAAACATGGCCTTGCCCATGCCTTTCACCTCCGCTCGCTGCCCCAAAGCTGATGTGACATGCTTCACCGGTGACGGTTCGAGTTCGGTGAGCAAGTCCGGGCGAGGTGTCATGCTATAGGTAGCGCCACTATCGATCACCCAATAGTCCAGAGGGTGTAGAGTCACCTTCTCCACAGCTGCTGGCTCCTCAAAGCCTTCATCCTTCTCTGGACCAGTCGGTACTTGCGTCGACACGAAGTAGAATAGACCCGGGTACCGATCGTTGCTCGGGTCCTTGTCGTTGTCTCCGCTCTTCATGTTTGCAGCTCCGCCACCGCGACCGCCACGGCCTCCACAGCCTCTTCCTCTCCCTCCTCCTGCTCCTCTACCCTCTTGGCTTTGAGCAGGGGTCCAACCATCAGGGAGTTTGTAGCAGTCCCGCCACATGTGTCCGCTCTTGTGGCAATAGTCACACTCGCCGTCGAATCGGCCGCGACCACGTCCGTAGCTCTTGTCGTCGCTGCCGTAACCGCCACTCCCGCGGCCTCCGTCGAAGTTGCT